AAGCCATGGGACTTTACATTGACTCAGAGGCATGTCACAGGTGAACATTGAATAAGGAAGACTGAAGAAGAATTAATGTATTTGATTGTGGTGTTGGAGAAGAATATTGAAAGCACCATGGGTTGTTCAAAGGACAAACTGATCTGTCTGGAAGAAGTGCAGCCCGAGTGCTCTGTGGAGGCAAGGATGGCAAGATTTCCTTTTACATCCATTGGACATATTGTCAGGAGAGAAGTACATCATGTTTCATAATGTGGAGGGACGGGGGGAAAAGAGGAAGACCCTCAGTGAGATAGGTTGGCATTGTGGCTGTAGCAATGGGCTTGGACATAGGAACAATTGTGAGGACCATTCAGGGTTTAGTCTGCCATGCAGCGGGCAACTGTGGGTTGCCCCTGACTAGAGGGCACCTGACAACAATGTCAAATAAGCCAGTGAATGAAGCAGTTTCTCTCCTGCTCGCTGGTCTGCTTTGTTGTTTTTTACTCCCCAAAGAGTTTTCTTTTTGAAAATGTAACTTTTGTACTTCAACGTATTGTTGATTTGGTAATGCCCTTTCTAATTAATCTCATGGCATTGAAAGCTATAGTTACCTTGAAGTAGTAAAAGAAAGATTAGTAGAAAGGCCATACGGACATCCTTATCTGCATTTATCAAAAACAGCTATATGTTCAGCACATTAGATTTTAATATTTGATTGTATTCAGAAAAATAAATAATAATGAAACAAGTAGAGGTTATAAAAGTCCACAGGATTCCATGCATATTCCTTTGCAGACAAACAAAATCCACCATTGCTTCAAAAGTTTTATTTTTCTGACTTTTAACATAGAAATTATTTTGCTTCTAAAAAATGTCAGGGTCTCTATGTTTGCTAGTGCTAGTTTCTGAGCTCAGAAAATATTTTTCCATTTTTTTCTCTTTGTGATACATTTTTACTTGTCTCCCGGAGCCAGCTAATTTTTACCTTCCTGTAAAGAGCCAGTCATACTTGTACATTTCATTGTGAACCCTTTCGTTTTTTCTTTAAACTTTTATCTCAGTAAAAAAATAACTATAGTGCATCATTTTAAAAAGTGTCTCATTTGACGCCTATTTTCTTAAAGACATGTACTAGTATTTTGTCTTCTTCCTATATCAAGACATTTTTATAGCCTGTGACACAGAGTGGGCTCACAATACAATGTATTGCTTGAATGAAATATAGAAATCCTGGAACATCATCAAATACATGAAGGCAACAGGGTTTATAAATATGTAAAAAACAAGATACAAACACATTCAGCAAAATCAAATCAAATATTATAAAATCTTATATTTAAAATATTTAATGTCAAACCTTAGTTTATAATTTATTAAAAAGAAATTGTTCCTTATGTGGAGATTAATTCAGGGCTTCTGTGCATGAAATGTGGACAACTTTTAGGGTAAAATATTTTGTTGCCAATGGCATGTCTAATCACTGCTCATTTTCCTTGAATAATGTTATCGTTTCCTTTTTTTAAAAAAAAGATGACTATGTTGAATGTCTAACTGCTATTTCCTGTGAAATGAAGCCCTAATGGAATATAGTTGTGAGTTAGGCTGTGATGTTCAAGGCCAGCAGTTTGAAACCACCTTGGAAGAAAGATTGGGCTTTCTATTCCCATGAACACTCAGTCTCAGAAACTCACAGGGCAGTACGGACCTATCCCCGTGGGTCACTGTGAGTTGGCATTGACTCCACGGTAGTGAGCTCCTGTGAGTCTGACATAGTTTTATAATAAGATATTTGAAGATGTCAAGTTCATATGAGGCCATTCTGGAGGCAAATGGTTTCTAATCCCACCTAAGCAATGTCTTTATAGATCTTGAGATCACAAAGACAGAAGAACTTTATCATACCCTATGTTGCAAGTCAGGGACGCCTGGAGCTATCGGAAGCAAGGAGAGGGACATGGAATTGATTCTTTCTCAAAGCTACAGAAGGGGCCAACATGACAAATCTAGTGAAAGAGCTGCTTTTTAAGAAAGTGTATACTTATTTATGTTATGCAGATATAGATATGCAGAGAAAGTGGTAATAAACAAACAAACACATAAATAAAGCAAACAAAACAAAGCAGTTGTATTCGAGTTAATTCCACCACAGGGTAAATCTATGCGTTGCCATAGTAAGTCTGTTCTGCAAAGGGTTTCTAACAGACGATTTTCTAGAAAAAAATGACCAGATTTTCTTCCTCTCAAAGCATCTGTGCATGGACTGCATTCTTTCCACCAGAAGCCAGGTGAGTTAGCTGAAATCTTCCTGCCATGAAGTGCTCACATTTTGTGAGACTTTTAACCTTTGCTATCCCATTTCATGAAGCTTCTCTGATTCTGTAGAAGCACTATTGAGCACTGGGGGACATTAGTACTCTTTGATAAAATAACCAAAGAGATAACTTTATTATTGGGAATTTTCCAATTCATATTGTGTCCTTTTTTTAAACAACTTATATATTAAAAAATTCCACATTCTGATATTCTCTTGAGAATAAAATAATTATGGATATCTGACTTGCCGATTTATGATTGAAAATGTTTTAAATCTTTGTCAAGTTGGATGACACCGGTATCTTAAAAATAATACATTGTTTCCAGGAGAAGTTCACTAGTTTGGCAGGATTTACACAATATAATTATTGCATAACAACTTCAATCCACACGGTAATGTATTTTTAAAATCTTCCATCTGATTATGGATTTAGTTTGGAAAGCACAGAAAGAATCTAAGTTTTGGTAGGATGGACAAAACATGTTCTCTGGGAATCTGTTAATAATGTAGTCACTGTGCTCAATCCCTGAAAAGATTTAATGTCATAAATACTCTGGCCTAATAAAACATTGGCTTATTACTAATTTACATAAATTCAGCACAGAATATATTTATAGAAAAATAACCTTTAAATTTCAGAATACTAAAAATGTTTTTTTCCAATTTGATTAGACAGATTGTTGTGATTATGTAGAAGTTTAATTTAATTATATGAGGAGGCTTGTAAGGCTTTGGCATAAAATACTGTATATTGCTTCTTGGCATCTAAGCAATGACCAAGTGATTACCTTTTTCTAGTTTATAGAGATATAACATTGTTGCATTGGATGCCACATGGTTGTCTGAGAATTCTGAAATAATGTTCTTATTGTGCTCATACAATTTCATCTTCTTTACATAAAGTCTACATGCATGTAACAAATTTCTGTTAAATGTGAAAGGACCTACACGCAACATTAGGTGCTTAGCTTGCAGTGGAAAGGTTCATGTTATTACCTAGCCAGTGGATCTGTGTGAAAAAGAACTGGTAATCTCATCCTGTAAACATTAAAGCTCAAATAAACCTATGGGACAACTGTACTCTGTCACCTGGGGTCACAATAGTTGAAAATGAACTCAACGACCTCCAGCAACAACAATACACTTGATATGTATAATAGATGTACAATGCGTATGCTATAATAAATGAATATGCAACCTAGAGCTCGTGGCATTTATAATATAACTGATAAACTGCATTTTCTTTATAGCATTGTCTCTATACATCCCTGGTTTAAAATTAGGCAAGGTGTTAATTAGGGTTGTGTCTTTTCATCATACTTATTTAATCTGTGTGCTGTGTAAATGATCTGAGAAGCTGGGCCACATGACGAATGTGCCAGAGGATCATAGGAAGACTCGTTAATAACTTGTGATATGCAGCCGACACAACTTTGCTTGCTGAAAGTGAAGAGGAAGCACTTACTGGTGAAGATCAAAGAGCACAACCTTCAATGTGGACTACACACACACACACACACACACACACACACACACACACATATTCCTCACAACTCGACCAATAAACAACATCATGATAAACAATGACAAAAATAAATTTGCCATGGACTTCATAGTACTTGGATCCACACTTGACACCCGTGGAAGCCGTGGTCAAGAAATCAAGCAAGGTATCATATTGGGCAAACCTGCTGAAAAAGAAATTGCCAAATGTTCAAGAAGAGAGATGTCACCTTGAGGACTTAGGTGCATGGTATTTTCAGTCAATTTATATGCACGTGACAATCAGACAATGAGTAAGAAAGAAGAGAAATGATGCATTTGACTGATCATTTTGGTGATGAATATTGAATATGCAATGATTTCCAGAATTATAAACAGATCTATCTTCAAAGTACAACCAGAAGGCTCCTTAGAAGTGAGCTGGCTAGATTTCATCTCTCATACTTTGGACACGTTAGCCAGAGGGATCACCTGTTCTGGAACTAAAAGATTGTGTCCTGTAAGCCAGGGTCAGAGCAAAAGCTGGAAGCCCCTGGGTGAAGTGGATCGATTCAGGGGCTACGACAAAGCGCTCAGGCATAGCCTCGAGTCTGGGGCTGGCACAGCATAACAAAATGAGTTCTAAATTTCACAAAAGTGACAAAGGATGGTTTGACAATTTAAAAACAGAACAATTAAAAGCAAAACTAAATGTCAAATTGTTGATGCTTTTAAGGAGTTTACTGGTATATTTACTATTTTCTCATAATTGTTATATAAAGAAAATCAAACCCTTAGGCTTTATACCTTTTTTAAATTGTAGTAAATAGAATGTCCAGCATATCTCTTTGCAAAAAACAACACAGAACAAAACAAAAGACACAATGGAATATTTTGATGGAAGAATCACAATTATCAAAGCACTGTTGATTGGCCTAAAAAGCATGTATTATATAAATATATAGTTGTAGAGCTAAATAAGAGAGGGCGTTTTGCCAAAATAGAAATATTTTAAAAATGTCATGTTCTTGAATGTGTTGTTTCAAATATCATTATTTTTCTTTAAATATACTGAATCTGATATTTATTATAGAATCAACTTACTCAAAGTACTTCACAGGATGGGGATGGGGGGGAGCGGAGGGAATAAATCGTCAGAAAGAAATGAATTCAACAAAAGAAAATGTCACTTAGTAAAATAAACCAGATACAAAAGCTTGCCTTGTATTTACAGATCAATTTTAATGGAATATTTCATGGTCTAACACAGATAGCGACCCAAATGACACTAATTCTTGTACAGCCTTTGGCTCATCCTGCATAACAAAATCTGTGGTTAGGACTATAAAATACTTTATGATTAGTGAACTTCCAAAGACACAAAGAAAATCCTCCATTAATTTAAAAGCCTATCTCAAATCCTTATTTTCATAAGTTTAGGAAGTATATATTATGAATTTCATTCTCGTAGGTAGTTGAAATATATAACATTTATTAGACTATGGGCTGGTGGGTGGAGGTATAGAGTTTTGTTCCTTTTTCTTTTTTCTGCTCCCCTCCAACATTAGAAAACATGCATAAGTCAATGCGAAATTATCTTTACAGATTTTGAAATTTTATCAATCTCAAGTAAATTCTGTTAAATCAGCAATGCTTTTACCCTTAGATAACACATTACAAGGTTCATATATTTCAAGGACTAAAGATGAAATGTACAAATAACATTTATTTTATTGTTACTTAATTTTGAAAACTTCTGTGTGGACATTTACAAGGGAAATGGTCCTACTAAGTAATTCTAAATGGTTAATGTATGCAGTTTTTAAAAAGTATTCAAAAGATTGTTTGACATAAAGAAATCTCATTTTGGAAGTGCTTTAAGAACCATCCAGTAGGAAAAAGAAAGTTCCATCTTTCAGTGTCTGTTTTCAAACTTAAGAAAATGAACTAAATGAATAGACAATTCATTAATGTCCAATAGATAACTAAAATTCAAATTTTATTTTTTCAATATGTATCAGACAATTTTTTCCTGACAAGACTTTGCTGAAAGATGATATGCAAATGATAACCCTGTAAGAATGTTTATAAGAGTTGTACATGACATATTTTAAGCGCCACGAAGTACACATTGAATACTTTGTAAGTATATAGGCATATCAACATGCAAGTGTCATGTACCTAAAATTACAATATGCATTTTTGAAAATATTAATGACAAAGGTAGATTCAATAATTGTGTATATCTATCTTCTGTGCAATATTCTTATTTTTGGTGGATGTTTTTTACAGCATATAATTTGTACTTATGCTGTCATAAATATACCCTTCCAAAAGTTATGAATTCCACATTATATAAATAGAGCATTTTATTTTTGAAGCTACATTACTGGGAACACCTGCATTTCTTGGTAGCATTTTCAGAGATAAGTCTTTAAATTCTTTTTAACACAGCAGACTTGTTCCAATGTTGTTTATGTTGAAATATTTATGATAAAAATGGAGCTTTCTTGAGGGAACTTTTTGGCTGAATGAAAAGCTAAACAGCCAATTCGCAAATACTGATGTAAACTAAATGTGAAGAAAACAGGTCAGTAATCCCAAATCCATAAATCCTTGGTTTACTACTTAACTGCATCATTGAATCTACAATGAATACAACAGGTACAGTTAAATCAATGTGTAAAGATATTAATGTTTTATACATTAATAAGGAGAACGAGCACTGGGTTTGACAAATTCTAAATTGTTTTTCTTTCTTTTCATGAGAATTATTCAATACATTAGAAACACAGATAAAAGCCAAAAGGATAAAGATATAACAATTCAATTTACATTTCATAGGCTTGTTGTTTTTATTCCCCCAACCAATTGGTGACGACTGCTTTTAACCCTCAAATATTTTATTGCGTACAACTTACACTATCAGCAAATATAAAGAGAAAAGTGTTACTAGTATCATGTACAAGGAAAAGCATTTGAAGAAAGCAAGCATCTGAGGTTTGAAAGTACTGTGTGTAAGAGAAGTGTAATGTATTTCATACTGCACTGAAAAGTCCATGTAGGCATCGCTGCTGCTCTGTCCCTGGGTATGGGAAAAGTGCTTTAGTGCTGAGCCCTGGGAGGTTTGTCTTCGGGTAGCTTTAACTTTTCTTCTTTTGAATTATAGAGATATTTGCTAGGGGAAATCATTTATTTTTTGTTTTTAACCTTCATTTTTGTCATTTTTCTTCCACATTTGGACCCATTCTCTCATAAATAATCATACATTTCTTGTAACAAATGCATATATATGGAAATGGCGGTAAATATAGACAAAATATTATTTGTAACATAACCACATAACATAGAAATATTTTCCTTTAGTATGTTTTACATATTCACCATCATAACTTTTATTTTTTTGTTTTTTCTCCTTAGAGGAAAATGTTTTTAAGATAGCATTTCCTTTTAGGATATTAAATTACATAATTTGAAAACTTCATATCACGTTTAAACCTATGAAATAAAGTGAATATTTGTGCCAATAATTTGCATTTTTCAGGAGTTATTTGTCAATGACGATGCCGTTTTAAAAGACTTAAATTTTTTACTACAAAGATCACACTTCTTGGGAAATAGATTCTACACACATTTTTACCGATAATTGCAGCATTAATTTATAATAAAGTGTTACATTTTATAAATTAAATAACATATCATATTGTTTTGCAAAGTGTCACCATATGAAATATTTTTAATTAACACTACTATATTACATTGAAAGATTAAATAGGCATGAGAAGATCTATCCTTATAAAGGTATTTTATTTTGCCTATAGGAAAATGAATGATAAGAAAGAAAATTTTAAATGCAGACCCATTCACCATTGAATACATTAAAAGAAGGTGACTTTGAGATTTCCCAGGGGTTGAGAAGGGCACTGTTATGATAGAACCAAAAGAGTGTTTCCTGGGTTATCTTGTAGGTAATCATTTCCTCTATTTATATTGAAGTATCATAGCCCATGTTAAAAGTGAGAGGTAGAAGGATTATTGTAAGTGTGCATGGTAGATAATTCACCAGCTATACCCAATAACTATTGCATTCAATATTATTAATCTTGATACACAAAATGCTAATCAAATGAGCTTAGAATATGTCTTGTCCCCTTAAGCTTTCTTTATTACCTTGTTACTTCAATCCATTGCCTTTGGAAGGGCATAAGTGCAAAGGGTATACGTGGGGTAGATTAGAGAAAGAAATAAAGAAAGGACCAGACCAAAAATAAAAACAACCTAAAAACTTACTTAAAGAAAAATTTGGTTGGAGAAATTTAAATTTACAATAAAAGTAATGCTATTTTTGTAAAGCTAAAATAAAGTCCAAGAACTCCAAATTCAACTATATATGAGTTAAATTTTACAACTCAAGTTACTTTTCCTCTCTAGTAAAGAATGTTAATGTATTAATCAAATTATATATATACACATATTCTTGTAATTGAGTCATCAATATTTTAAATCAATGTTTTACTATGTTGGAAGTGATTAGCAACCTCTTACATCCTGTTGGAGAATTTTTTAAAATCCCTTTGCATGAAATATACCAGCAATAGAATTGCTGATATTGCACTGAGTAAATTTCAATATTGCCAGAGTATATTTCAAAACAAATTCTTCTATCTACACTAAGCTTTCCTCTTTCCCAGAATTCAAAATGCATATTATAATTACATGGGTTTCCAACATCCATACACAGCAAGTACAAGATACTTACATGTAAGTACACTGTAGTTACCTATATTTTTGCATAGTTTTTAGTGTGTACTTTGTGCCACTTAATAAAAAGCATTACTCATTAATAATTATCATTAGGATTTCCATTTATTTCAGCAGAGGTTGTTTTTCCCTTTTTAATATTTTTTGGTATAGTCATTACAGATTACCATTTGAAAAGGACAACAATGTTGGACCATTTCAGAGGCTCCAAGCAGTACTATGTAGGGAAAGCTGCAGTGCCAGATACAAGGATATGTGTTTTCTCCACCATAAAACATTTAACGTGAAATTCTGTATTTATCATCCATTTTGTCTTTATGTCCAAAGAAAATGGAAAAGTAAAATTTAAACGTTCCCCTTGGTAACACTTTGCAATAAGTGGCACGAAATTACACGATAACTGCTATGTTACATGGAAGAGCCATCACTGTCAAATAGCTGCTGTACACGTGTGTATAGGAAACTCAATGCTATTACAATAGTGAGTACATAATTACAAGTGAGTTTGTCCTTTCTTATAATTGCAATATTTATATTTTTACAAAGAAAACAATAAATGAGGTGTTGGCTTCTTTGCCATATTTAGGAAAGTTACTTTTCTTTCTCTCTTTGATAGTTTGTGGGATTTTAAAGTGAGAATAATCATTTTGGACCACTATGAGATTATTTATTTCTAAGTCAAACTCTGATATTTGGTTTCTTAAACTGCTTCTTGGATTCTCTGGTAAAAATAAACAATTTGAACTCTGTCTCTCTCACTGACTCTCTCTCAGTCTCGCTCTTGCACACACATACACACCATCAATATTTGATCATGCTTTGTTTCATTGTTCTTACTCTCATAATCTGGTCTTTTTCTTTCTAATTCTGACAATTATACTAGGACGCTCAAAAATGACAAAAAAAAGAAAAGAAGAATGTTGTTTTCATTTTTTTCCTTGATGGAGAACAGCCAATTTACATTGTAAATCATATACTGCGTACACTGGTAGAGCAAGCTACTTTTGATAAAGAAGAATGTTCCATATTCTACTAGAGATGAAAAACAATGCTCCATATTCTACTAGGGAGAGGGGTGCGTACTCCTTTCATTGAGTCCCATAGCTACTGTGTTCACTTAGCAGAGATATAATGTGGCTCTATGTGCATAGACATTTGCACGGATCAGATAGTGTAATTAACACAGTTCACATTGTAAATTTTTATTAGTTTTTTATGACTTGCAGAAATTGAACTGAGCAGAGTCTTTACCATTTATTTTCTTGTTTGGCGACAATGAAATATTTTAAAGGATAAAATCTAATTTTATTGCTACCTTCTTTCATTTGTTTTGTTTTAAATACCATAAAGTCATATCTAATTCAAATTTGCGTAGTATATTGAAATAGTTCATTAGAGCCTGCCAATTATACTATACCATCTATATGTATATATCTATTTAGTTCTAAGTTTTTTTTATTAGTCTAAAGGGCTAAAAGAACAACAACAACAAAAATCTTGAAATGAACCCACCAATTTTGGATTTCTACCTTTACAGTGTTATAATGATTGACTTATTTAAGCAACAGTTTAGCAGTTGGAGCCAAGTAGAATATAGACGACATGAAGAGGGAGGTAAACACAGCATTATGGAGTGTAGCAATTTTGTAAGTGCATCCTGAAATTAGGCCTTAAATAGTAATTGATGATGCAGTTGATATAACGAATTTCTGTAATAAGAACCTTTCCAGTTTTACTAACAGGATGAATTTTGCTTTGTAGACTCTTTCTAAAGATTATGCATTGAAAGATATGAACAGTTTATAAACCTATTCTAGTTTCAATGTGTCTAGTAGCACCTACCTGATTCTCTCAAACTACCATACTATATTAACATATTATTGCATTTTTCCACAGATGGTATGGAGTAAACTGTAAAAACAAGCATGCAATCACATCAATGCAGACTTATTTCCTTAAAATGTCATACTGTATATGATTTATTATGTTAACACTCAACCACATCATATTATTTATGTTCTGTATATTCTGAAAAAGTGCTGCTTGACTGACATCGTCCTTTTTCATTGTAAGAAATCAACAAGATAGATGCTTGAACAAAACAAAACAAAGAAAACAATTTTAAAATTCTAACATTGTCCTTAAAAGATTTATACTTTGCTGATAAATAATCTAAGATACAGCACCCTTGTCTTTCATTTGATATTAATACATGATGTCATACTCAACCATTCTCATACCCCCAAAATAAATTCCAAGATATTATTTTGAAAACCGAAGGCTGTCATGCTTTCCGACATCACAAGATAGCTCCCAAAGAGTCATATTTGATTTCTTCTTAAAGGTGCACTGTTTGCAAATGTGAAAATACTTTTACTAACAAGATTTTAAATTTTGCTTGTATATAATAAATTTCATGAGAATTGATCTAGCAGTAGTTTATTTTACTAGGAGAAATAATAAGTCTTTAGGTTGACTTTGTTTCATACTTAGGAATACAGCATTTCTTAATGGTTAAATACTCCAAAATTTCAGAAATAATTCAGAGAAAGAGACTTTCACCTTGGCGTTAAAAACATGGCAGAAATTCTCTATCACTCACTGTGTCATAAGTTTGTACCTCACAAAATGCATAGACAGGAATTTAATATAAAGAATTAGTTCATTTGTACAGAAAACATATCTTCAACACGTCTTTTTGGCAAACCAACATAGGTAAGCAGCTCTGGAACTGCCAAATTAAAATTTGTAAATTTTTAGCAAACTAAGAGTTTATTTTTAGGTTATTATTCAACTGTGGTTGTAATCTAAAACCTGAGGCTGTGCACTGGTTGTTAGCTTAAAATTACCGTTCCTTATAACATTGTGCTTCCATTGTATAACAAATAAAAATTAACAAGAACTAGAAAAAGTTGTTGAACAGTGCTAGGACATACAGACAAAAATACTAATACATGTTATCTACTTATAATATTGGTTTAAGTAATATCTAAAGGGATATAATGGACATTATAAAACGCTGACTTATGATTGAACTTCCTACAGCCAAAAAAGTTAAATATGTATCAAATAATGTTTAATTGGATTTATTATATGCACTATATACAGATACTAAAATGTCTCAAAATTGTGCCCTATGGATACTTTAAATTGTGTAGGCAAGTAAGTCTTTATGGAATAAATAAATTACAGAATCAAATTAGAAAAAAAGTGAATGAAATGTTTTTGATTCCCAAAGCAGTAAAATGTTTGGAAAAATTTATTTGTAAATGAAGCTACATTAACCTGATGTTAAGATTTATATAAGTATAGAAGATGTTATGATTGCAAACCACACGCATAGTTCCTGTCTCAAATACTAGATTTTAAAATAGGAAATAGATATCGAGTTACCACTATAATCTGAAACATTCTAGAAACTATGCTCCAGTGTTTTCGAGGGCAGACATTTCCAATAAGTTTGTCTTTGAAGACTCAAATCCAAACTCTCTGCCGTAAACTGACCTTGAATCACATCTATCTTATAGGCCAGAATAGAACTGCCCCACAGACTTTCCAAGGCTGGAAACCTTTATGGAGGCAGACTGCCATGTCTTTCTCTCAGAGAGCCCTGGTGGAGCCGAACCCCCAATTAATTTTGGTTTGCAACCAAGTTCTTCAACCATTGTGCCAACAGGCTCCTTTCTCTGAAGACAGGCATATAGAAAACATTGTTTTTAAATCTCGAGTCTTCAATTAATTTAAGAACATTGGGTCTTCACTTAATCTTGTTTCTTGTAAAAGCCGACAATGGAAAACCAATAAAGTTTATGTTTTTTTCGGGGGGGAAATGGGAGAGAACGAAAGGGGAAAAAATGCATACATTTTTCCAATGTATAGAAACAATTCAATATTATGACCCAACAAGATGAGTAACATTGTTAAGGCTGTATATTCAAGCACTGTATGTTAAAAGAGCAATGGTGTGAAATTTAGCAGTAAGAAATGTCCTGCATTATGGATAGTACGGCAATTAAAGAATGATGCTTTCGACAGTTGATTGTTGGCATACACTGGCTACTGAGAGCAGTACAGTATGGAAGTTAATAAAGGTAGCAAGAGATGGTAGCAATGAATTCTGAAAGATGATAGCCAGTTTTCTCCAGCAGCCAGCTTGGTAAGTAAAGGATCTTGGCGTGTTTAAATGAAATACTCTTTTTTCTCTTCAGCATTCACTTGGCTGCCTTCAGCATTGATAATGGCTGTGTCAGCGTCGGGTGCATCTTCAGCTCCTTTAGCTTCATTTGTTAAGTACGTTCCTGTAGATAATGGTTTTTTAAAAAAAGCATGTAAGATATGGAAGTTTACCACATAACGGCAACTACTAAAAATACAGTTATTTAGGATAGCATTTATGTTAAATTTCTTATAATTTTAAAACACATTTTGAAGCATAATTAACCAAAAATTGCATCCTTCCAAAATTGCACACTTTCCTTTAGCTTTCTGGTATGTGTTGTAGGTGACGTGGTGACCAAGTTAACCAGAGGCAAGAACCAAACTGAAATATGTAATGTCATTTTGATTTCTTTGATGATGGATACAAACCATGTGATCCACCCAGTTGTCACAATCAGGGTCATTTGTTAAGATGGTGATAATGATTGCATGAAATGTGTCACTGTTCATTATGGTAACTCCATTTAATGTGAATTATTTCAGTGGTTTGCTACCTGGCTCATTGCAAAAAAAACACAAAAAGCATTCAATTTCCACACTAAAGTGGACACATATGAGTATGTGACTGTACGCTTGTACATAAAACAATGACCAAATACGTAATGCAGAAAAGATAGACTTTTACTGTTAGAGATCAGTCCTAAAGATAAATGAGAAACTTGCTTATAATATTTCACAGCTAGCAGCTCGCTCTGGGTCATATTCATTGGATAGTTTTATTTGCCTATTGTCCAACTCTAAAAATAAGCTAAAATATCAAGAAATCACTGAATTTAGATAAATTTCCCTCTCTTACCCCCCACCCACACAATTATACTATTCCATGATGCAACTAACCCTGAGAAAATCTTCCTTCAAAGTTGAGGATAATAACCTACCTTTATGTCTTGCCAGATATCGACCAAGCAGGAATATAGAACACAGTGTAACAAATACAACTACCGCCACTATTCCTCCTATAAGGGCATGGTCAGGGCCAGTCTGGCCAGCCAGAGCATTAGGATCTAGAAACAGGAGAGAAATATCATCGTAGTTATTCACAAAGTATATCTTTACATTAAAACCAAACAAATTCATGTCCTTCAAGTCATTGCTGACTCTTAGCAACCCTTATAGGACAGGGTTGGCCAGCCCCACTGAGTTTCCATGACTGAAACTCTTTATGAGAGTAGAAAGCCCTGTCTTTCTCCCAGGGAGCAGCTTGTGGTTTTAAACTACTGGGCTTTCAATTCACAGCCCAATGCATAACTCCTATACTACCAGGGCTCCCCTATATCTACATTAGAATCTGCTAATATATCTGCATTTTAATGAATTCTTTTGAAACTTATCATATCAATTTTGAAATATAATTGCATTATCAAATAGTTATTGTGTGCTTGCAGGTACAACATACTCGGTGATTTATCAGGGTGGTCGAGTGCCTGGAGAAAGTCATTGTGCCTGGTCAGGCAGGTGATCAGTGAGGAAGAGGAAGACTTTCAACCCCATGAATTGACCGTGGCTGCAGTCATGGGCTTAAACATAACAATTATAATGACGACAACACAGTGTTGATTTGTCAGAGCATCTCTGAGTTGGAATTGGCAGGATGGTCTACAATAATTACCCAAACATATACCATTAATATATCACATTACCATTCTTTTACATTTTTGACAATTTGATATGAAAATGTGGCATCCAAAATTTACATATTATTTATTTTTTAATTATAAGAGATTATAAAAGTTGTATATTCTTACACATATTAATCCAATACGTTTGAAATGTCTATGCATATAGGTCAGTTATTTTTCAATAGAAAATAATTGGTTTAAGTCCTTTATCTTTATTTAACCTAGATCTGTGATGTTTTCTGTCATACGTTAATCTAACAATTTTATGTAATCATACTTTGTGGTACAACTGGCTTGCAGTTCATTATTTAAAATATTTTAATATGATAAGATTACCCAATATTGATCTATATTGTCATTTAATACTTTTATTATTTTTAATCCATCTTAAGTGATTGATAGTAAATGATATAGCTACTGTTATTTCTTATTTGACAGCCTATTGTTCCCTGAACTATGTATTTCAATATATTTATCCACTTATCCACTTGACGTAGTTATCTAGTAGTACTATAGCAGAAATGCCATAAATGGATGGTTTTTAGAGAGAGAAATGAATTTTTCCCTGGTTCACAGGGCTAGATACTTAAATTCCAGGTACCAGTTCTAGGGCAAACCGTTCTATGTCTCCTGGTTCTAGCAGGTTCCCAGTAAAAATGCTCCAGTACTGTTTTTTGTTGATTTTCCTTTTCTTTGTGATATTATGTCCCTCTGATCTCTTGCTACTTTGTTTAATCCCTATTTTATCTCAAAAGAGATTAAGATACAACCTGGAATGCAGTCAATCATTTAACAATGTTTTTCTATTCACATCTGTTATTCTCACCAAACTTCTTTCCTGATGAATCTGGGTAAGATAAGGTAAGGGAAAAGAGTAACAGGATTATATGATTTATCCGTGAGTGCTTTTGACGGGGTTCATTGTGATTGTCATTCTGCTGGGTATAATATAACCCATCTCAGAAACAGGAAGAAGAGTCAGGAGGGTAATGCAAGTCTTTTGGAGCCCAAGATCTCTGAATAATGAAATTCCATTGGCCAGGAGGGAACTTTGGAGCCAGAAAAGCAGCATAGGAGTGGCAGTAGCAGAACCAAGAGTCAGGGCATGAGATTGAGCTTTGGACTTCCCAGCCCACAGCACAGGAAAATTTGAATGCCTTCAGGTGGGAAGCTGGCTTGTGTAGTAAGGACCCTCCATGCACCTAATTAGGAGAGTTGGGTTTACTGACCCATGAAGCTGGTGCTGAGTATCTTCAAGCTGAGGCTTATGGTAGTTTGGCCTTTGTCAAACTAAAAGAGCTTTGTAACACTGCATGAAATGGACAATGGCCCTTGGGCCATGTGGCTGAAACCTCAAAGATTAAAGGTTGGCCTACCTGGTGGCACAGCTGAGAAGAGGCTGTCCTGTCTGAATAATGGTATACTGAGTATTTGTAATGTGTTCACGCACGTAACAAAAATCTCCATAACCATGAGTATTGTCTGTGAGTTCTGTACAGGCACTATGATGAATTATTGGACCCAGCTGTAAAGTAGAGGGTGCTATGAGAGGGACAGTTGGTATCAAAATGATAAATGTTGGAGGGTGGAAACATGTCTAACCTCAGCCTCATAGAAATTGGTCTTGGACCGCTGGTGTTAATGTTCATGCTTATCCTTGTCCTTTATGAATTTACAGGTGGTCAAACACCACATCCATGTCAGTGTCTTCTTTATTTTTTTAAAAACACACCACAATTCTGTAGATTCCATCTTAGCTCATTAAGAAAACTGCTTCTAATCCTGATTTATTAACTTTATAGGGGTGAGGTGATTTACAATATATAGAGTAGTTATATTGGATAAAAAAATGCAGAATAATTACTTAATACTGAGACTCATGGTCCAACAAAACTGACACTCATGTTTCTGGGACAAAAAAAATGTGGGACACATTTAAATACATAATGCACTTATCATAAAATAAGTTGTCCATGTTTTGTGAGTTACTGCATATTTGAACTTATATGACTAATCATATATTATTTTTACAGTTTTAGAAATTATTTTATATCTTTCTGTGGTAATCTCAATTGACTACAGAATTAATTTATATAACAAATAAAAATATAATAGAATATTTTCTAGTGTTGCCTGGGTAAATTTTGTTTTATATAATACATTTACCAGAAATGTTGATTATTGTGTTATTTTAATAATTACTGTATTTTAGTTATGCAGTCTTTTATTATTTAAAGAAGTGATCTAAATGTTCCTTAATTTATCTATGATTAAAACATTCCATTAACTAAGATTTAAAAATTAATATCTATCATTAAATATTTTAAAATATTGTCATTTTATATTATATTTTGCCCTCTTTCATTACTTTCATGCATTTTAACTCTTTGAAGTTTTATTTTATAAATCATTAGGTTTAATATTTAAATTTATTATTTATAGATTTTTTATATCCATAAAATCAAATTTTAATCTTCCTGCTAGTTTCACGAGTGTGTCAATTGTTTTTATAGAAGTTTTATGTCTAATATTAGTGTATGTATATTTTTCCTTTTCTAACTGTATCAGTTAGCACACTTGAACAAAAATACTTACATAACCTGATTCTTATTGTGACAACACAATTTCAATAAAAGTCTGTATGGGTTAACAGTGAATCTTCATTCTGTCAACCATTGGACATTGTGGCAGTTGTCAATTTGATTTCTGATCTCAATATATGTACTTGGTTTCACCAGTTCTTATTTATGCAAAAATTGATATTAAATGCATTTAGCCTTGACGATATGGACTATGCATCTTAACTTGTCAAGAAAGAACATTTTACTGATAAAAGCATCCTTGAATCTTGAAAATGTAAGAATAATCTTCTTGTGAATAAACCCTCAACTGTTTAAAGAATCCCTGGTTTTTATGTTTTCTCTTAAGAATCCCAAATATCTTGAATATTTTCTTGGCTTAGTTTTTCTTCTTCCCCAGGGTAAATCTGAATTAAATCCAGAATGTCTTTTTATTCCTTTCTAAATGTCTTGTTTTTTCTTCATTATTGCCTTGGTTATTCTCTAGCTTATCCCTTATTGTGTTTTGATATTTTACCTGGTCATTGTTTCTAGTCAGGATTTTGTTCCATTTGTAAATACACGATTTTATTAAAATTAGGACTAGTCCATGCTTTTAGTCTATATATTCTACTCTACATGTGATTAGCAACTATTTTTGATATTCTCTTCCCTAAAATATGAAATTATGGACTGGTAGGTACCTCATATGTTATAATGCACATATATCATTTGTCTTTCCTATTTTTATAAACATGTTACTAATTTGCATTTTATCTCATTATAGGTGTGATTTCCAAGTTTATGATTTGCTTTTCTGTTTTGATTTTTTTTAATTAATAATTCCCTTCTACCAAAAATGTTTTGTTATTGAATGTGGTTTTAGCTTATGCATATTCTCTATATAATCTGACCCTGTTATTATCAATGACTGTTTTAAACACTTTTATTAAATTAACCATAAATGATTGTATCTTTCTAATATTCTATTCATTTCATTATAATACATTTAATTAAAAATCTGTGAAATATTTTCCCATGGAAAGCACACATCATTTTTCATTGCAGGCAGACTATGTTGGCTTGTTTTTTTCTATTTAGACATCTTTAGTAACATATCACTGAGAGTAGCAGACCTCGAGAATCGACTGGAGGAAGCAGAGAATCGCATTAGTGACTTGGAGGACAGCCAAGCAGACGTTAACAAACGCGAACAAAAATCTAGTAAGATCATCAGAGAAGCTGAAGAAAACCTAGAGCTATGTCTGGTGCTATGAAGCGGAACAACATTAGACTTATTGGCTTACTGGAGGAAGACACAACAAAAAGGTCATCTGCAACAATAGTGACAGAATTCTTGGAGGAAAACTTCCCCTGCTTAATGATTGAAAACCAGGCAACCATTCAGGTGGCTGAAAGGACACCAGCTAGACTGAATCCCAAGAAGAAGTCACCAAGGCACATAATATAGTTAAACTAACCAACTTTGAGGAAATTGAGAAAATCATGAGAGCAGCTAGGGAAAAACAAGGAATCACATATAAAGGTTCCCAAATAAGAATATGCTCAGACTTATCAGCAGAAACTATGAAGAAGAGTAGAGAGTGGAGTAACATATTTCAAAAATTGAATTAAAACAATGCAAACCCAAGAATACCCAGCCAAATAATCAATCAAGATATATGGAGAAGTAAGAGTCTTCCCAGACAAGGAACTACTCAAAGAATACGTTAGATGAAACCCAGCCCTACAAAAGATCCTTGACGACCCAGTATGGGCAGAAGAACAACAATCACCAAGCATAAATAAGAGACCACCACATAGAAC